TGGACCTGATGGGAATGACCATGTAAAAAGGGGCCTAAAGCTGCAGCATAAAATCATTTAATAGGAAGTTGCAGTAGTTGTCAAAGTATAGGTCAACCAAAAACCTTTTTTTTTCCGTTTCTACTTGGCATCATGCTTTACCATTTACAGTTTTCCTAAAGTGTAATTCCACTCTTGATGAGAAAAAAATCCTCAGAGGGTGATATATGTACCATGCCGATGGAGTGGCATGCCAGTGTCTGACAGTGCAAGATCGTGGGACTGGAGTACAGTGAAACCAGGAGAGATGGGGAGGTGTTTCCAATGTTAAGTCACCTTACAGATTTTCTTTAAAGATTAACACTTTAAAGCGGAGTTCCAATCACGCGCTGTCAAAAAATAAAACTGTAGCTGCTGAGTTTTAAAAAAACAGCCACTTCCCTGTCCCTCGGTGTGTCCCCTGCACCCGTCCTGTATTCTAGGAGGCCGGCATCTTCAGTGTGGGCACCCGGCTGTGACAGCTTGCGGCTTCACAGCTGGGTACCCACTGCGCATGCGCAAGTAGCACTGCACTTCATGAATGGTGCTGTAGTCTTCTGGGACCTGTCACGTGTCCCAAGAGACCACAGGAAGGACACCTTCTGTTTCCGGTTGCCTAGGCGATCGGACCAGAAGTGAGTGCAGGTACCTATCAAATTCGGGTACCCGCTACCCCCCCCAAAGGTGCCAATCCTTAATGGGGAGTGGGGGAGCAGCCCTTAAAGCGGAACTTCCCCTTTTGGGTGGAGCTCCGCTTTAAGTAAAGTGGAATTCTGCTTTAAGCAAATTGTGAATGTAAATCAGCTACATAGTTTCTTACCTGGAGATCCTGCCAGAAACATCACTTTCTGCTGCAGGCAAAAAACATTAAGCCATTGTCCCACAGCTACCAGCATAGTTCCCAGCCTGCTGTATGTGCTCCTTCATTCAATCATCAGGCTGCCTAGCAGGTCTATCAGATAGACAGCCAAACACCAAACTGAAGGAGCACACACAGCAAGTTGACAACACTGCTGATAATTGCTAGGCAGTGGCTTAGCATAATCGGCTTGTAATAGTAAGTATTGTTTAATGGCAGGATCTCCCGGTAAAAAAAAAAAAAAATTATAAACATACACAAAAAAGTATTTGCTTAAGAAACCTGCATAGAGTATGATACCTAATGGGCTGAAAAAAGATTTTGGATACACATATACTTTATTGACGTACATCTTCAAACTAAGTGATTTTCTAGAAGTCTGGAGTTGCATTTTAATCAATATAAAATTCTTTTAAGCATTTATGCAATAGAAAAAAAAAAAGTAAATGTGAGCTGATTTGTATGAAGAAATAATACAGCTAGTGTTGACATTAGTGTGATTTCTAATTTGCAAGGGCAAAGTTGCTGCCAAAGAGCATAATTACTATGTATTTACAAGTTCAGTCAGTGCCAGTATCCCCTATGGAATGGTAATGACTCTATGTACTCTGATGAATATTCAGCACTCTGCCTTGCACTTATGATGGGACAATACAGTGCAATAGCAAAAAAACGATTTCTTCATTTCCAGACTAGCCAAAGCATATATTTTCCTTCAAACATGTATATGTCAATCTCCACGTTTACAAGAGGAAAATATGTTGAGCCAGGGAAATAATTAGTCTTTTTTCTCTATGAAAATCACGAAAGTCTCATTTGCTGCTAATGCTGATTAATCTAAACCAACCTTTCTCAACCAGGGCGCCCAGGCACCCTGGGGGTGCCTTGGCAAAATGTCTAAAAATTGCATAAAAACTTGTATACAAGCCATCGGGTGGAACAAGCCTGCCTTTTAGTTACACAAAGCCACATGTTTTCGTTGTGCACCATTACAACCCTCTAGCCGCCGGCATCCTGATAAGGAGGATGTCAGCTGCCTACACAGCATCCTTTGTTTGACCCTCCCCTGCCCCTCTCTATCAGTGCTGGGGTCACATTAGCTCAGTGATGGAGAAAAACTGAGGGAGAGAAAAAACACTGGAATACTAGTCAGTACCAGTCTGCAAAAGTGTATTTGCTTTGGAAGAATAAATCACCACTAATGTTGGGTATCCTACGTGTGAATGTTGGTGCATTACCTAAAACTATTAGAATAGTTTTTCACATTTTAGAATGGGGTGCCTCAAGACGGTCCATAATTGTAAAGGGTGCCTTGACTAAAAAAAAGGTTGAGAAACACTGATCTAAACAATCTAAAGGGTATGTAAGTGGATCATTTCAAACGGGACTGTAATTTATTGCCTGTTAAAGAATGAAGGTAAAATGGATGAAAGTTAGTACTGGAAGCCTTTCAAATAAAAACTGATGGTTGTATAACTTAAAGTGACACTAAAGCTTTGTTCAAAAAAAAAAAAAAAACAAAACCCCACAACAAACTTGTCTATACTTACCTGCTCTCTGCTCTGTGCAGTGGTTGGACCCGGTGCTCCTGGTTCCTCCCCATTGAGCAGTGCCCCCAGGGAATGCCTCTTGCCTTGGGGGCACAGCTGTATGCTCGACCCCGAGTCACTGCTCTGTGTGCGTCCATAAGACACATACAGAAGCGGCTCAGCCCGGCCCCCACTCTCTCCTCATTGGCTCACTGGCTGTGACTGACAGCAGCGGGAGCCAATGGGCTGTCTTATGCTTGATCCAGAAAGCAGTAAAGCATGAAGGGATGAGGGACCCCGCACACCACTAGCTCAACAGGTGAGGAATCTGAACAGCCTCAGCCTTGAGCTCCTCCAGAGCCACTGCCTTGATGCATTTCTTGCCGCCCAATGGGGGCTTAGTTATAGAGGTCTAAATAGGCCTGTAATCTATTTTTCACAAAATTGTTTATCTGCCTCTTTGTAATGTCCTCTGGGAGCCCCCAAACCTTTTCTTATCCCTCCTCTCATTTTTGTTTTTTTGGAACAAGCAATGCCCGTGTATTGTGGTGTTGTGCACTGCTCTATGCACACTACACATCACATAGTTCCTAGTCCATCTCAGGAGTAAGCTAGAGAGGGTGACTACACTCTTTGCAGTGGAAGGAGGAACACAGCAACCCTCTAACAGGAAGTTGTACCATGGCAGCAAAAAGAAAAGGAATTTAAGGGAGGCGAAGAGCAAAAAAAAAAAAGCTTTTTTTATGTTCAGAACACAAATTTGATTAGAATTTCTTTTTTTGGAAAACAAAGTTTATGGTCATTTAAAAGTGTAATTAAAGAAGAACTCTGGGCAAAATTTTTATTTTCACATACAGTGGGGCTGTACACTCACTGCATGGGTAAACTGCTGATTTTGTCCAGAGGTGCAAATAAAAGCTATACTTACCCGATCCTTCGAAAAACTGAGCTACCCCATGTCCAGCCGTGGAGTGTTCCTGCCGTCCCAATGTCCAGAGCTGGCCTATGGGCTTGATCACGTCAAGAACAGTTCACTCACAAGACCGTTAGCATGCGGGAGACAGTGGCAGCGGGGACAATTGGCAGATTAAGTAAGTATAACTCTGCTCTGCAATCCCCTAGACAAAAGCCAAGCAGTTAACCCATGCATTGCAGGAACAGTCCCACTAAATGGGTAAATAAAAATTTTGCCCGGAGTTCTTCTTTAAACCCAAATCATTGAAAACAGTTAGAATATGCTGTATTACAAGCTGTTAATACTATGGGATACTATGGGTCACCATGGGACTTGTTTTCTGTATTCTGCAAAAAAAACACAGTTGATCCTTCTGTTCTCTCTCCCCCCTCTGTCCATGTCCCCAATGCAGCTGGGGATTCTGCAGAGCAGTGTTGGCAGCTAGTGCACATGCTCAGTTTTCAGTGTATTTCTACCCTGAGCATTTCCTCCCTATCACATCTGAGCAGACCATGTGAGTCACACATGTGGGGGTGTACACAGTGGTAAATGACAACCAACTCCCTCCCTTCTCTTCCATGCCCACTAACCAGGTAAACACAATTGGGGCGGGATATTAAAAGTAAATCTAAGACACAGGCTGGAGGGGCGTGACACAGCCTGTGACTGGCAGAAATCCACCCACACCACACCACTCTGATCATCTAGGCAGCCGGAGTGGAAGCAGGTTCTCCCCCCCACCCCCAAAAAAAAAAAAATTCCAAACCTGGTGGAGGTTTTGACTAAAGTTCCACTTTAGGTGAAACTCTGTATAAAACCCTACTGAAAAAGAGAAAGAAAATGTGTGTGTGTGTGTGTGTGTGGGGGGGGGGCGGGGGGGGCGTGTCTTTTCCTCTGACTTGGTCACCTAAATATGGAGTGTAAGCTCGAGCTAGTGAGGCCCATAAACTTTTTTTTAAACAAAGCATTTAAGATTAGCCAGGTAAATAAGTGAAATAGAAATTAAAGTTTCACCTGCTGCCTGGAAATAATTATTACGTCTTACTTCTTTTTCCTATTTGAGATCCAACACCCCCCCCCTTCCCCCCACAATCCCAGCAGGCTAAAGATGAAGGCTGCTGCCCAAACAGCAACACTCACAATCATTGCACACAATCACTGCCACACTTAGCCTCAGAGACAGTTTAAAAGTAGCATCTCAACAGCCTAAAGGTGAAAAGCTAGTGCTAAACCAGCTACGTAATCACATGAAAATGCATTTTAATTAAGTCTAATCCTTGCAAATGAGAACATTACAGTAACACGAACTCAAAACAAAACTTTGCTTCCAACGTTCTTTATAAAATGAAGCACTGACAGCATGGGATACATAACAATTTTACCCTCTGCAAATCTTTTTTCCAGTGCTGAACACTAACATTCTAGAAATAAAGTTGTTACAATATTAATTTTTGTCCTTTTGTGGTATTTAGAGTGCAAGCAAAACATAATGTCCAAGTTAATAAAGAAAATAATTAAAAGAAATACATTTCCCTGTGGGGGAGCGAGAATGATTTGAAGCAATATTTTGTTAGCCAAGAGTTGTGCTCTCAGACGGCTTCTCTCAAATTACCTATTACAGACGCAGTATTTGACTTACTGTGTTAGTTGGATCTTCTTGTAATATCCTGTCATATATCTGGAGAGCATCATCGTACCTGTTCCAAGGAGGAAAGTGAAAACCGCTTATGGAAAATTACTTCCAGAAAACCTACACACAACTAAACAAACCCAACGATTCAGCATTTGAAAAAGGCAAATAAATGTTACATTTACCCAAAATTCATATATTGAATTCTTCTATTTAGGAGGTGAATAACCCAATGGCTTTTCCTAAAGTAAACCTGTGCTTTGTCCATGAAGGGTAAAGAAATAGGTTTGTTTCAATGTTAAAAAAAACCCCAAAACAAAAAAGAAAAAAAAAAAACATTCAGTACATCTCTGCTATGTGTGTACATTTCCTCATGTTTTGTTTCTTTTAAAGGCTGGAAGTAAAGAACAATAATTGTTGATCCTGTCAAAAATTCCTGTGAGCTTACCATGCTGCCACTTCTGCAGTACAATCCTAAGCAGTGTGTGTGTCAGACCTACACAACCTATTGGACTACAGAACACAACCCTCTTATGATACAGAGATGAGGAGAGGGGAGGTGCTGTGTAGTCCAGCACGGAAGAACACAGGCAAAACTGAAGGCACCATGTGGGATGTATGTGCCGCAGAGGCAGTAATGTCAGCTCACTACAGGAATTTAGGAGCTCACTGGATTTCTGGCAGATTGGCAAGCATTGTGCTATACTTCCAGTGTTTTAAAAGGCATAAATCGTTCGAGAAATATGCATTGCAGAGAATGACTGCATAGGGTCTAAAATTTTGATCTGTAATCAGAACAGGAATAGAGGGGAAATGGTCCAATGCTTACAATCAACAGGGAATTTACCTTCCTTTATAAAGATTTCCTCTTTTTTTCTGTGAGAGGAAGAGGACACACAAATGGAAGAAGAAAAAAAAAAAAACCAGGACGGTTTTACACCTTTCCAGGTTTATCCAAAATAAAACATTATTACTTCAGATCTATAGTACTTAAATGCTTTTGCATGACCCAGCTGCTCAAAGAAAGGAAAAAACTTATCTCTAACTGTAGTGCTGAGAGGTTTAGCAATAACACACACTGAATTAAGTTGCTGAGTTCCTACAATTAATAAGAAATTTGTCAAAAAGGTTTTTGAAGCTTGATTCACACCACATTTGTTACATTTAGCTTGCATTTACATGTCAACGTGAACCTTTCCACCCTTTCACGAAGAATTCACATCAGCATGCAGCCCTGGGGAGGAACCTTTTCCTCGAGGGTGTAGGCTCTGGAAAGGAGTTGGCTGATCCACCTGGCAATTGTGGAGCAGGAGGCAGGGTGTCCAGGACCCATGAGCAGGACAAAGAGGGTTGCATCCTTGGTGAATACTGGCTGTAGCTTTCAGGTAGACCCAGACAGCCCTAACCTCATCCTGATGAAAGTAGAGGAATTTTCTTGTCATGTTTTGCGGCAGGGCAGAGGGAAGGAAGGAAAATGTCCTCATTGAGGTGGAAAGAGGAGACTACCTTAGGCAAAAGGAAATGACAGAAATGACCACACTGCCTGATGAATCAGACCACAGAACTATCTAACTGGTAGTGGTGGAACGGGAGGCAGGATGTCTTTTATGAGGGTCCACAAGAAAGGCAAAGAGGAACTCAGTCTTGTCTAAGAGGCTGTAGCTTTCAGGTAGACCGCAGACACACCCAGGCAACGTGGGACAATTTCTTTGTTATGTTCTGTGGCAGGACAGAGGGAATGTCCTCACACTGAGGTGGAAGGAGGAGATTAACTCAGGAAAAAAGGAAGGTTTTGGTCTCAAAACTACTTTGCTTTTGTGCAAAACAAGAAAAACCTTTTTACAAGACGGCTGCTAACTCACAAACATGCCTAAAACATGTAACGGCAACCAAGAAGGCAACCATCAGGTGAACTTACCCAAAGGAATGTCCCTAATTGGCCCAAAGGTGGGTCTCGGAAGAGCAGTGAGCACCATGCTGATATCCCAAGGTGACAAAAGCTAGTCGAAATAAGGGACTAATATGATCAATTGTGCAGCAGAAAGTTTCTGGAAGAGGATGGATAAGGCAGAGGCCTGTCCCCTTGAGGGTACTCAGGGCCTAATGCTGACTGAGAACAAAGTGAAGAAATTGCAAAAAAACAAGTGATATATTCTCTGGGGTTAAGTAATCTATCTTCACTCCATGCAAAGAAGACCTTCGATGTGCGATGCTAAGTCTTGAGGGAGTTGTATTTCCTTACACTGAACAACGTAGAAATGACCAAGTCAGAGACAGTCCTATCCTTTAGGCCTTGGGTTTCAACAGCCATGCTGTTAAAGCTATTGACTGTGAAGCAGGATGAAACAGGGGGGCCTTGTGAAACCTTGCAAAGAAGAATAATTCCCTATTCCAGGGCAGGTTTGGAGGTCTTCACTTATGCGAACAGAAGGATTGGGTTACTTACAGATTGACTCTGCTTCTTCTATGTCTTGAAGATGTTTTGTAAAAACTGCCTCATAGGAGGCCACCATAACCTTTATGCAGAATCAAACTGAAAGGTATCGTTGTGACCGGAGGTTCTGAGAGCTGGACCTTAGGAGGCAAACTTCTTCGAGGGAGAAAAATTCTGGCTTACCCTGCATCCAAGTTTAGACCCAGAGACTCCAGATGGTGTGAGGGCTGACGAGCAGACTTTGGAAAGTTGATCAACCAGCCGAAGGTTTGAAGTAACTGAATAGTCCTTTGAACTTTGACTGTAAAGGTCATGGCAGAGGAGACCTTCAGTAGAAGGTTTCCAAGTACCCAGTGGCATGAATGCCCTGAATCAGCAGATGAGCAATAAATTAAGTCATTCTGTTAACACTTGGGATGCATAGGACAGCCCGAATGGCAGTACTACAAATTGGAAGTGCTGGCCTCCCAAAACAAAGCAAAAAAAGCACTGAAGTGAAATTCCCCTTTTCTGAGAGAAGCAATAACAGACTTTGCTAATACCACATGCCTCCAACCTTCCTCTGCCATGACCTTTTCAGTGGAATCACTGCTCCTTCCAGGGGAGGATGTATAACGTTTTTTGCCACTGGAAACCGTTTTATTGATTCAGAGACTATGGGTTATATGCATCTACCTTCAGGTGGTTGGATACTAGCAAAAGGCTTCACTGGGTCCTGTCACTAGAATCCCCATATAGCCCTGTCGACTCTGTACTATACTCCAAGATATATGAAGTTACAGGTACATCAAAATTCCTCTCATTTTTGTCGTACAGTGCAGAACACAGGGATTGATTTATAGACAATGGGACGTACGCAAGCAAGTGGACAACAGTACAGCTAAACAGCAGCAACAGGCCAGCAGGAAAAAACAAGAAGTATTGAGAGACCCAAACCTTGCTGCTGTAGCAAGTGATAGAGACTCGCCGATTAAACAGATTGAGATAAACATGAAAAACAAATCAGGCAGTGGCTTCAATCAGAAGAACAAACGCTAGGTGATGTATGGGCCCCAGACACCACCTCAATGGGAGAAGGGGCTCAAGCAGAGAAGTGGCCCCTGTAAAAGGGAGTAAAATGACCACCCAGACAGGAGGAAGCAAAAGGGAGGAAACCCCAGTGTGGCATTGTGGGAAAAGAATAGGAGTCCTCAAGGGACAATAGAGGTATCATGAAATCTACCCTGTTCCCAAGTGGAAGAAAGAAGAATGCAAGGTAAAAGTACCACTGCTGGTGAGAAAAGGTGGAGGATCCATTCTTATAAGGATTTCCCAAAAGGAGAATCTATTTATTTGGAAGATAGGGCTTTTGTCTCACCCACGAGGTTCTGCAGGAGTCCCAGCAAGTGACAAGGAACAGCCCTCCTCAGTAGAAAGCTGCACCTGAGGTGCAAGGTCTTAGGAGACAGGGGAAGAATGTACTAAGTTGATGAGGACCTACAGGGTCCTAATTGAAATGCCATATGGAGGGACAAGTAGAGAAGTCAGGATGTTCCCTATCATACCACTAGGTGGAACCATCTTATCAGAAAATACAAAGCAGGGGGAAATCAATCTGCCTAAATGAAGATTTAAAGGGGGCATTCAAGGGATGGAATGTGCTGATGTAGGAATACCAGGAATTCACCTATCAAGGCTGCCACACAACCATGGGCTAAGGAAGAGTAAGACTCCTACAGACCATAGGCGGAAAGGTAAGGGAACCACGTACGAAATCCTGTGAACAGTGAAACAGCAACCTTTCCTAATGGCAAAGAAGTTACCTGGCACAAAAAAAAAGACCTAGGGAAGGCTTGATAGGCACCAAAGCCCAGAATCAAAAGAATCGGCTATCAGCAGCCATGGAAAATAGGGAAGGGTGGATATGCCATGGCAAAACAAAGTAACAAAGGCCCCAGGCTGTGGAACTTTCCTACCCAAGTACCCATGGTCTCAAGGAAAACCCATATGAATGTTATGCTAAAGGAAGAAAGACCTATACAAGAACAATAGACATTCAGGGAAAACAATCTTAAGAGAGTACAGAGAGCAGCAGCTGTCTGGTACCAGAAGCCAGAAATCAGGTTTAGGAGGCCAATGGCATCAAGTCTCCTGGTTGTCTCAGGGTTAACAAAAGAGCCCAATTATCCAGAACTAAAAAAAAAAAAAAAATGGATGAGAGTAAATCCCATCAGACTACCTTAAATGGAAGGAGAGAAAATCTCTGACACAAGAGAGCTAGGCCTAGCCACAGGTGTACAAGAGTTTTTGTCAAAACCTAGTTATAGAGTTATATAGAACTACAGAGAGACAGATGGCTGGGTCAGAGGAGACCAATGCATCTTTGTATATAGAGCCTTTAAAGGAGAGAGGTTTCTATGTAGGAGTTGGTAAGTGCACTGTGGTATGTGTTGTACAAAGAAGAAGTAGTATATACTACAGCGCCATCAAGACATGTAAGCCAGGAATCAAAAATATAGTAGGACACAGGGAAACCCTGTCTTGCCCTGTTCACCTTGTGCACCCCATTCATAGTCCAGGCTTCGCCCACCAAGATGGGCATACCCTCAAAGGGTTCTTCAAGGTCTGGGTGCTATGGGGATGGACCATGGCCC